CCCCATCTCCCACAGCCAGCCCTGTTTCCCCCCTCATTAGCTGTTTCCAGGCCCTCCCTTCCCCCCCTTTTTTTCCCTTCAACAAAATTTTTTCCTGGTGGTTTTTTTTTGGGGGGTGGGGGTCGGTATTTTTGTTTCAGCCATTTGGCAACCCTACCCACACATGAGGGGAAACTGAGGCAAAGTCAGCCCAGGGGTCCCACCAAGCCAGCGTGAGTGCTGGAAACACACCATCCTGGCATGGGTCTTGCTAAGGAAGTGGGGTGACTCACCGGCAGCTTCTGGTCAGTGTTCATCATGGTCCATATGATGTCCAGGTCCTCGGCTCCATTGTCCTCAGGCTCCAGTACGTAGGGGCAGCCCAGCTTCACGGAGTCCCCCTGGGCCAGGTACAATGTCTGCTGGCCCTTTGCATTGATCCGCACCGCCGCCAGCAGAGCTGAGAGGCAGACAGACAGAGCCTCCCATCAGGCCAGACAAACTAGGGCTGGGGAGAAGGTCTTCAAAGAGAAGGAGAAGTCCCTGGGCGCCTGCTCCAGAGATGGAGCCCCTCCCTGCGGTACACAGAGCCGCCCCGCACCGGTGCGGGGCATAGATGCCGGCTCAGCAGGGCGCCAGTGTGGGAGCCTGTGAGGGGAGTCTCAGATGGGGGAGAAGGGAGAGTCCCCTCAACTTTTAGAAGGTATCACGTGGTGGGGCATGATCCCTGCAAGGCCAGCCCACCAATCTCACAGAGCCTGTGGGACAGAGCAGGCTCCTGTACACAGAGCCGCCCCGCACCGGTGCGGGGCATAGATGCCGGCTCAGCAGGGCGCCAGTGTGGGAGCCTGTGAGGGGAGTCTCAGATGGGGGAGAAGGGAGAGTCCCCTCAACTTTTAGAAGGTATCACGTGGTGGGGCATGATCCCTGCAAGGCCAGCCCACCAATCTCACAGAGCCTGTGGGACAGAGCAGGCTCCTGGCAGGGACCAGGCTCTGCCCTGGGCAGACATAGGGCTCTGTTGCCAGGGATTTGCCAAGCCGTGGGCATCCGGCAGCAAGGCTCCCACTCGGCCCGGCCAGAAT